TATAATCACGGCTATAGATATGATATGATAATGGTTATAATCACGGCTATAGATCATATCTATAGCCGTGGTTATAATATTAGTTATTACCACATTGATAAAACGTATTTTATATTCACGTCATATAATAATTAATATAACTATATCTATATCTATTTATATCTACAACCGTGATTAATACGTACATTGCTCGCCTTCTATCAGTTATCACTTATCACCAATCGGCAATTGGAAATCGATTCGATCAAAATCTAAAAATAACAAATATTTTGGATTTCCAAACTAGCAGTGACGCGAGTTCGCGACTGCGACGTCTCGACTCTCAACTTCTCCCGATCCCCACTAGACGTCGCGCACTAGTTCATTACTTCATTGTTCATTATCATTTTCGCGACATTCGTACCATAGAAAAGAAAACTGAAAAGTAAGTAAATTCGTAATTCGTACTTTCTTGCTCCGTGCTCCAAACCCGAGTTTGATACTTTGATGACTACAATTTTATATTTTGCTGAATGCTGACGTTAATTTGCTGCTGGCAAAAAGTAATCAGTTATATATACCTACTTATATAAGTAGTTAAGTTTCATTTTACCTGCCTGATATTTTGCTGATATATATTAAGACATTAAGTACCCGTACGCCGGCCGTTTTTATATCTACAATTTTCAAGAGAACGTGAGTACTATTTTATTCTATTCTATTTTTTTTACATATTGCAATAATTATTCAAGTCTAGTCAAAAACGTGTTGTTTACTTTGTATAGTGTATAATATTTAACTAGATATAGTACGCTATACTATTATACTAGTACTAAATATTATTATTATTATAATTATTATTATATACTATATTATATTCGTATATTACCTACTAGTATAGTAATACAAAGTGAGTAGGTAGTTAGTTAGATACGATTATTAGTACAGGTAGCCTGTAGGTATATATAGTTAGTATATTTAGTTATAGATTAATATGTTAAAATTATAATTTGTTAGTACCTATTTGACACAGTGCGTGACGTTTTTTAAATAGTATGCATTATATTATATTGTAGCTATTATTAATGATGAGGATATTACACACTGTGCATGTTGTATCATTGATTTTAAAATATACTATAATATACATTTATGTTTATATTTATCTATATAATGTATATTTTAAAATCAATGGTTGTAGCCATATAAAAACGTATGTAATAAGTACCACAGTAAATTGCCAATTCGCATCTATCAGAACCAAATTTCTGTTATGGTTATGTGAGTCGCTATATACTACATATTGTATATACAACTTATATAAAGGACATTATTTGTGTTTTTTTTTTTTTATATTTTAATTTATATAATGTTGTATGATTGTTATTGGTACCTAACCTTAGAGTAATAATACCTACATGTACCTACATGCTCTGATACATAGGTACCTACTCAAAACTACATAATTAATAATTAATATATACAAATTCCAAATAAAAAACAAAGTTTTTTCCCGACAATGATCTTATCTTTAAATTTGATAATAGTAAATTCCAGAGTAAATTCACTTTAATATTAAAATTAACTACAGAAAATCAGTTCTGATGTACTCCAATTTGATGTTGTAAATTTCTAATAGATGCAGACAACTTTACTGAAACTATGTTCAAAAAGAAGTTAGAATTAATTAGGTACTATCGGTAATAATAGTGTAATATTAACTTGTTATTTACATAATAATCTATTTTGTATAAAAAAAAATTTGGTAAACTTAGTTAAGTATACAATTTACCTAGGCTACATAGTCGGAATTGAACTAATTACGTAGATAGGTATATTGTTTAATTAGTATTATTCTATAAGTTCATACTAAATATGATATTTTATTTTATATAACAGCTTATATATTCCAAAGCTATATATTTCATACCCACAATTTAAATATGAATAATAATAAAAATAATATTAATATAACAAAGAGAAGAAAGATTAGAAATGAAATGGCCATGCTTGAACAAATCTATTCTACATCAGATATAAATTACGAGGAAATATCTTCAGTTAGTGATGATGATACAGATAAACCTAGAGATAAACCATTGGATGATGCTGCAGATGAAATTCGTGAAGAATTACATAGTAGTATATATTATGATAATATTATTAATATTAATATTAATAATCATAGCACATTGTCTATCAATAACGGATTAACCAATGAAGATGTAAGTCATTGTTGTTAAATTAGAGTAATATTTTTAGTATTTACCTATCTGGTATACGTTTTAATAGGAACATTTGAAAATAATGATTGTTTGTAAGATAAATTAAACTATACAATAGTCAAGATAGCATAATTTTTAATAGGCTCATTATTTTCATTTTTACATTCTCTTCCAAATTATGTATTGGTACCTAAGTAAAATTGCAACTTTCCTTAGAATATTTACTTTATGCTATTACTATTTCTTTATAATAGGTTTATGGTATACAATCTATACCTACATTGTCATACATTAAAATTTTGATCTATTGACAGTTAAACAATTTAAAAATGCTGTTAACAATTTTTAAGTTAACATTTGATCATACTTTAATCGTTATTTTTATTTTTATTTATTTAATTATATATAGACATATTCTTACATATCCTATCTTGAATTTATCATTTTGATATGCTTTAGTATAATTCATGATTTTAATACAACTCTTTAATAGCTCAAAAATAAAGTTTTAATATTATTTAATATCTCTAATTATAGCTATACCTACCAATCATAATATTTGTTAAAACATGTTTGTTTTATATATAATTTATGTATTTATTATTCCAAATTCTATTTTATAATTCAATTATCTGCATTTATTGTGTTAATAATATGAAAAATAATAATTTTGTAACACAATAAATTCAGCTGATTTAATTAAAAAATTGAAATTATGATATAGGTACCTAGCTATAGTTAAAGATATATATTATATTTTATTTTGTAAACAATACATAATAGTTACTTGTATTTTACATTTTTAGTAGGTATCATATTTTAACTGATTAAATTAATTGAGTACTATTTTTTCTGGCATAGGTAAATAACATTAGTCCAGCCAGAAGCCCAGATTACACTTTTAAAGAAGACCTTAGTGCCTGGGCTATCCAATGTAACATATCTCACATTGCACTCAATAAATTGTTAAAAGTTCTTAAGAAAAATAAACATATTTATACAGATAATTTACCTAATGATAGTAGATCATTATTAACAACACCTAAATCAACTGGATTAAAATTACTGCCTGTTAATCCTGGAAAATATTTTCATTTTGGATTAGAATCAGGACTTCTTCGTTATGCCACTTCTAATTTAAGTGAAATTAAAGTAGCAATAGGCATTGACGGCCTCCCATTGTCCAAAAGTAGTAATAGCCAGTTTTGGCCCATTTTAGCCTATGTGATTGGAATACCAACTAAACAAGTATTTCCTGTGGGAATATATCATGGATATGAGAAACCTAAAGATAGTGACTTGTTTTTAGATGAATTTGTTAAAGAAGCTCAACATCTTGTTAATAATGGCATTAAAATTAATGAAACTACTTCAATAAAAGTAACTATTGATGTATTTTGTTGCGATGCACCAGCTCGTGCATTTCTTCTTAAAATTAAATATCATTCGGGGTATTTTTCTTGTTCACGTTGCATTATTGAAGGTGAACACTATAAAAACCATGTATGTTTTCCTTATTCTAATATAGAAATAACTAAAAGAACTCACGAGTCGTATAAAAATCTTATGTATGAAGATCACCATACTTCGACAACACCATCCAAGTTGATAGAAATTCCTAATTTAAATTTAGTGTCCTCGTTTTCAATGGACTACATGCACTTGACTCTTCTTGGTGTTACAAGGAAATTAATATTATTATGGTTGAGTAAAGGTCCAGTTCATGTTCGTCTGAATAGTTTTTCTATTGGAAAATTAAATAAGTCTTTATTAGACATTAAACAATACATCACCAGTGATTTTGTCAGAAAAACTAGGCCAATTAATGAAATTAACCGCTGGAAAGCAACAGAACTTAGTTTATTTTTAATTTACATTGGTCCCATTGTCTTGAAAAATGTAGTTAAATATGAAGTTTATATTAACTTTATGTCATTTAATGTAGCGATGATGATTTTATTAAGTCCTGATCACAGCCATATTGTACAATTTGCCGATAAACTACTACATTATTTTGTTGAGTCTTTTGAGAAATTATATGGCACCGAACATGTATCATTCAATGTGCATGGTTTATTACATCTAATTGATGATTATCGTAGGTTTGGGCCATTGGATAATTCTAGTGCATTTGTTTTTGAAAATTTCATGAAAGAACTAAAAACTAAAGTACGGAAACATGATCAATGTTTAGAACAAGTCATTAATAGATATTCAGAACTGCAAAACAATGTCAACCCGGAACAACACAATTTAGAACAAAAGTTTCCCAAACTTGAACATGCACACCAAAATGGACCTATAGATACTAATTTAACTGGCACCCAATACAAATGCCTCAAACTAGAAAAGTTTAAAGTAAATGTGGATAATGAAAAAGATTGTTATATTCTGTCTAAATTTGGAGAAGTAGTTAAATGCATGAATATAATAAATACTACTCATCATGGTATAATTATTCTGGGAAAAGTATTTAATTCAGTATTACCATATTATAATAAGCCGATGGATTCATCCATATTTAATATATTTATAGTAAGAAATATATCTGATACTTTAAAACATTGGATATTGACAGATATTAAAAAAAAAATAATGATTATACAACATGCTGATCAAATTATAGCCATACCACTAATACATACCGAATGTTAAAATCCAAATCATTAATTTAAGATTTTAATTTTGTAAATAATGTAATTTTTTTCTTATAATTTTAAATTAGTACTCTAATACTTATAAAACTTATAGTATTTTAATTAATAATTTCAGGTACATATTATATAATTTATATATATAACAATGGACTCATGGATTGTTGTCAATTATTTAGAGGATGAAACCGTTGAGGCAGTACCAAACTTTTGGTATCATCAAAATAAATGTATTTGGCCCACAAAAAAAAATATTCTTAAGCACTGTATTGTCAAAAGAATCCCAATAACAGAATTTGATCACAAATTTTTAAAAGCTAGAATTCTATGTTCAGCTGGTAAATTACATTTTTTTATTAATTATTATTGTTAACTTATTGAAAATAATGCTAAAAATCAAGCCAACAGACCAGTTATTGAACCTAGGTTTTGATTACTTGCAGTCATTGAGTTAACCAACCGCATTTACCACAACTTTATTTCCAATCCCTGTTACCATTATTGACTGATAAATAATATATTATAAATTTATTAGTACATATATTTTTTCTAATTTATATTTATAGTATCATATGAAGAAGCAAGGAAAAAGGCTTCCAAGGCGCAATATGATTCTGAATTGTCAGGTATTGAAGAAATGAAAAGTTCTAGAAAAGCCAGGGCAAAAAAAGATAGAAGTTACAGTTCTTCTCCATCACCTTTGACAGTGCAAAAAACATCTAACACAATTAGAGTAATTAAATCTCCTCCTCTACTGAGCACTGCACATGTTATACCAAATATTGGAACAGATCAAAGTATTTATTCACCAACAAAAACAGTTCAAAAGCAAAAGTTAGAACATAAGGAAACTGTATTTTCTATGTATAATTCAAGTGCAGATTCATCAAATTCTAGTGAGATTGATAATGATGACGAATCAAAGGATCCTGATTATTCAATCATGGGTAATTTTTTTTTTTTCATTAAAACTACAGATACTTAGTAGTTACTTAGTAGTATTATTAATATGTTTATAGTATAAAATGATAATATATTTTTATTATCATTGGTTATATTATATGGTGGCCTATGCCATACAAATATTTAAAAACTAGAAATCGCACCTACTACACAGTGCTACAATTACGTGCTAAATATTTGTATGGTATGGGATATCTGTCTGTGATATTATATATAAATATATTATATAATCAATTATTTTTGTAATATGTGCAGAAGGGGTAGATGGATAAAGAAGAAAATCTAAAATTAATTTTTTTATGAATTATTTTCAAGAAATCTAATATGAAATAATTATTTTATAGACTCAATGCCTGCTGAAACATATGACTGCACCATTATACATTCACCGGCTGGTAAATTTCTTGTAGAACTAAACAATGAACTAAAAGATAATACAGGTATTTTATTACATTGTTAATAGATTATATTTTATAAAATAAAATTTACCATTGTATGTCTTTGACTAATTTGGATCCCTTCTCTCTTTTAAAATTGTTTCTTGTTACTCATCTATCAATTCATGATATATTATTATGAATAATGAAATGATATGCAACAATCCTAGCTAAGCTTGCAACTGGTATTACTTTAGATTTTCAATATTGGTTTCGCATCTCATGAAAATATTTAAAATGACGACCTTGATTATGTATGTTAGTCTACAGAATATTAACCCATTACGTTAATCCTATTGTTTTTTTAGTGTTCTGTTGTTTTATATCTATAATTAGGTACTTTACTAAATGAAAAAAAAACATTAAAATCGGAAATACTATCCAATTTGTTCACAATTAATATTATATTTTTTTAAGGAAATCCAAAGGCTATTGAAGTAAACAATATTAAAACAAATTTACCGAGCAACAAATATAAAAGGAAGTTGTTTAATAATGAAAAATCATTGAGTGAGTGGTGTTATAAAATATATATTATAATGAACTATTATTTTCATCATAATACACAAATTATAAATTGGAAATATTTAATATATTTTTAATATGTGTTGTTTAAATTTATGATTTCAGCATCTCCTCGCAAGCCTGCAGTTAAACTGAGTAGAATGGTGATTGATCAAGCAGGTAATTTTTAAATATGTAAATTAGAAAATAATAATTTTTGAAATTAGGTTGAAATTAGTATTAAATAATACATTTTTTAATTAGATTTTCAAAATTTGGTTACAAAACAACTTGTCACATTAAGATATACAGTTGATGTTATGAATACAAGCATTGCTGCAACCTTACAAAACATTGAACAAAAAATTGATGGATATTTCAAGTATGCAGCTACTGGAAATACGAGTGGTATTACAAACGATTCATTTGATGATGGTTTCTTGTGGCCATTAGAAAATGAAGAACAACTTCAGGAATTGGAACAAACACTTAAAAATAATGATAACAACTTTAACCGTTGTCTAGTGAGTTCTAATTTATTAGAATGATAGTGTGGATGCATTTTATAAACTATTTCACCATACAGTAATTATATAAAATTATGTTTTGTTTGCAGGTAAATAAAATGTCGCTTATGAACTCCAATACAGTTGAACGTAGTGTCCGCAGAATTTTAAAGTATATGTTTACTGATGAACTTCTTGAGCAATTTTCATACACAGGATTTAAAAAACCTAAAAAGTCGTTTTCAAAATTACTCTCATGCCAAATTGTTATAGGTATTATTATTTTATTCTTTAAATTTCATAATTATTATTAATTTTATAATTAACTACATTTGTATTTACACCGTAGGTACATATATATTATATAAATTATGTGATAAATAATTAATGCTAGGCATCGGTAGTTATAGAAGTTCCTTATTATTATTTATTTATTATTCCCATAGAGACAATATTTTGTCTCTATGGAAATAAAAAATAGTTATTTAACTATTAAAAAAATTAAATTTAATAGTTTCTCAAATGATTAGAACTAAATTCTTAAAAGTGTGTTGCTTATACTTAGTAATTGTTTAGATAACATTTTACCAGCAAGTCCTTTTCATTTATTTATGTTCCTAAGAAAACCCATCATTAAACACTTGATATTTTGATAGAAAAATTTTTAATTTAACATATTATAATATATTATTTTAACCATTAATAAAAATAACTTATTTAAACTGCCTTGAAATTATTTTTCTCAATAAATATTTATTAAAAATCAAAATACATATATATATATATAATATTCAAATAATTCATAATAGCTTTACTTTTAACAGTTTTAAACAACTATTATAATTATTAAACTTATATTAAAAGTTTCTATCCTTATTACCAATCTAACCAATCTAAATATTATATATAATATGAAATCTTTATGTGTTTTGTTTTAGATGCTATACGGAGTTCTTCTCTATTTAAAACCACAACACTGCAGAATATAGAAAAACCTATTAAGGCCTGGCTGGCTCAAGCAAAATTTAGAAAAATCTCCATAATATAAACTAAAATATAATTATAATGTAGCAGTATCTATTTTATTAGATAGATTTATTATTATATTATTAATACTTCACACATTTCAGTTTTTAAGCATTTTTTAAAATTTCATATGTATAATAATGATATTGTTCTTTTTTTCATCTACTGCTATATTTTAAATTGTTTTTGTCACTACAAAACTGTACAACATTTTATGATGATAAGTAATTAATTAATAAAAATATATTCTATATAATGATTCAAATAATGTATGTTTTTTTAATAAGATTATATGGTAGTACCATAGAAAATAATTATTATGTTCTACAGTTTAGCAAAGGCACAACCAAGCAAGGGATCGTTGAGTCCAGACACCCCCCCCCCTCACCCAACATGGAGCTCTAGATTAATTATACCATTATAGGTACCAGATTTAGTTTTTAGTTGAAATGTCTATGTTCTAATAACAAATATTGGCCACCCTCTTTGAAATAATTCTGATTTATCACTGCATTTTAACATTGGTACAAATTGTTAGATTACAATTACGGGTTAATTAATTGCCCTAATTGAAATAAAATACAATTATTCATTTTTAAAAACTGATTGAAAAATAATATTATAATAATAACTAGCTTAAATATTACTAAAATATTTGAATATAATATTACTACAATATTTGACTATAATATTAAAAAAATATTATAATTTTGAACTTTTAATGATTATATAATATTACAGTAATATTTTAAAATTTTTTTGTAATATCCTTCAAACATTGAGCAAATATTAATATTTTCATAAAAATATTAAAATGACATTTTACAAATGTAAATTTGCTGACTGGGTGACTCCATAACATTTCAAAAGCATACCAATTTAAGTATTTTAATTTTAAATATAATAAACAACTATGTTTTATCCATACTCTGATCCTGGAACAGATGATTTATTAAAAGTTGTGTGAGTATGTTCTGAGCTTTATCAGATAAAAACCCATTATTTTTTTAAGAATCCGCAAGTACATATCTACCGTCATTTGTTGTATGCAATTTTTCTAATAGTATCTATATTATAATAGTTTAATTGTTAATATTTAATATAATGTGAATTTCATAAATCGTTTGTAATTTAACAATAATAATTTCAGTATGTCTATATAATAATAATAATAATAATGTATTAATATTAATAATAATTATCATTATTACAATAGTTAATGTTCAACCATCACCACTTATAAGAATTACAGTCATCAAACTATAAATGTGGAGAGAAAATGAATTAATTGTCTATGAATGTATTTGTATTATGATCAGCTCTAAAATGCTTTAATTTAATTCAACTCACTTCAATCGTCCATTGCATAGGTTTATATTTGCCGTATGTACTATGATCATGGAAAACAATTTCTTTTTGTTCCACACTTTTTGGACTCCTGTTAGTTTTGTTGTAAAATGTTATGTCTATGATTGAAGAATTGTTTGGACCCGGTAATATATAATTTTCGTTTTCATACAGTGGTGGAGTTGACTGTGCCACCATCCGTAGTGACGTTGTCCCCAAAGAACCCTAGAAAGCACAATAAATAAACTGCAGTAAAGAGTAGAGTTCATTTAACAATTACTAAATTGTAAAATCGAAAGCTTTGAAAAATATTAAACTCACGTCTTCGTCTTGAAACAAATCCATAGTGATTTGCAAGAGCTGGATGTACATAGGTCAGAGAGCAGTAATGAATCGATATCTGATATTAAAATAAATGAAATCACAAAACGCGCCGAACAACGTAAATATTGACAGAAATAACTGTCTATAATCATTATATTTTGAGAAAATAATCTTCCCATGGCAAAATCTAAATGTAGGTTGCTGTTATTTATTATAACCAACTCAAGAGTTATATTAACATTTAGATATTGAGATATAAAACTAATGGTGTTGATTGAACTAAATGGTGTTGATTTAACAATAATATCAATAATCAAATCAGTAATCTATAGAGCCTATTGTTTTATTAGGTATGCAAATGTTATTTTAACATCACCGTTGTAATTTATTTTAAACTACAGAAAACTCAATTTAAGATTTGTAAATAGAACTCTTCAGTTTAAGTAAAATTAACAACAAATTTTCTAAAACTGAATAATTACCAAAAGTCTATTTATTATCAACTTTTGAAATGATTTTAATATTTTTTATTTAAACCATGTGTGTTGTTAAACAATATTATTTAGTTCAACCCTCCGTTTCCATTATTTGAACCACATTAAATTCTTAATTTAATATTTATACATTCAACACTTTAACATAAGTAAAATCAACTCCAATATTTCTATGTGTGTATATATACATAATGTTAACTTTGAATGATATAGTTTTCATCGTAAGGAAATGAAAATAAGGATACTTAAATGTTAGTACAAAATATCTTGTCTTTTGAGTAAGGTCAGGTGGGGTAACAGCAACGCCGTTTTGCAAAATCTCAGTTTAATGGAACATATATCTTACTGTATTCTTACTAGGAAAATTGTTTTTTTTTCATATATTAATGAACATATTATGAATTCAAATTTGTATTCAAAAAACTGCTTTAATAATTTTTTTGGTTCAAAAATAATTATTGAATGAAAAAAAAAATGTTGCACTTTCCCTGCTACCGGGGTAAGAGCAAAATTGGTAATTTTTATACAATTGTATACTAGCTATTCCTTAGCCGGGGCATGTGCCATAAACTAATGAAAATCTGTAAACAAATTCCGTTGAAAGAATTTAGTTATTTTAATTTATCAAGATTTGACAGACCATTAGTTCTTTTTTAGTGTTGATTGTTATAATAACACGCATTAAAAGTGTAATTGTTAACTAATAATATACTTAAAAATGTATAGGTATTTGAAAACATACTTACATATTTTAGTCACAAACAATAATTATAAAATCTTTTTAAGTAGGTATTTAACAAAAAAAAAAATAATAAAACAGGTAGATCTCTTAACAATACTCAGACTTTTGAGTTACTTTATTAAACAATATATAACAAATAAAATGCAATAACATAAAAAAAAACTATATAAGTACTTACTTTAATTATACTCAGACTTTTGAGTTAAATAGTAAATAATTATTTTAAGTTGAACTGACTAAATGTTACCATGAATATTAATTCACCCACTTTTCCCTCTTTAGGTAATGGAAGACGGCAACTTATATTATCAACTAAAACATTTTTATCAATATCCTCAATAACGAGATACACAAATATTGAGCTGTTTTTAAGTTCTTTTTTTAATTTCACAAATTTAACAATTAGATTTGTGTCTGTCTTATCTGTAATAATGCCAACAAAGTGTTTGATTTTTTTTCCTTTGCTTCTAACAATATACTTCACCAATATCCAGTCACCTATGTTATCTACTGTACGATGCGAATAAGATTTTTTTATAGTTTTATGTTTTGGGATGTTTTTTAAATTTGCTTTTTCTTTTAAGATTGGTACTGCCTCTTCTGAAGAAATAACAGAAGCACCGCCTGTGATTTTTCGTTTTGTTTGTTTTTCAAATGTGGCTTGTTTCATTGAATTAAGTAAAAGTAATTCAAACGAATTATTACTGGAAACAGTTGAATTTTCAGCACTTAAACATTCTGTAATATCAATATTAGTGTAGCTTGTAGGACCTTCTGCTACATCAGTAGTTATATCATTTCTAGAAAGCTCTTCTGCAGTATCAATATTAACTGATGTAGATGTACAACTTATAGAATGCTCTTCTGCTGTAGATGTATAACTTGTAGAAGGCTCTTCTGCTGTAGATGTATAACTTGTAGAAGGCTCTTCTGCTGTAGTTGCATAACTTGTAGAAGACAAGTCATGTAATAATATGTCTGATTGGCAATTTGCATCATATCTGGAAAGCTTCAGAGGGTCAAATTTGGAACGTTCTACAACAGTACGATTAAATGGATATATCCCAGATTTTCTAAATCCATTTTTTATAATTTGTAGATCAAACTTTGTCCAAATATTACAAATTATTTTAGAAAGCTCTGACTTAGGCAATTTTTGTCCCTGGTGATTTCTACACCAAGAGCATAATATTTTATCCCATTCATTTTTTATAGACTTAAAAACAGCTAGGTCTAACGGCTGTAACAAATGGCTTGGTATGCGGTGGAGGTAACATTATTATTACATTATTTTTTATAGCCGTATCTATTAGTTTCAAATCCACATGTGATGAATGCCAATCATAAATTAGAAGAAAAGGATTTTCTGGAGTAGGATTTGTACTTTTAATGAAGCTTTTTTCAAAATAATTATAAAAAACTTTTTTCCATCCTCCCATTTGTAGTAGCTGCATATGTAGTACCAGGAAAGAAAGATGTTTCTCCTACCCATTTATCCCATACACTTTTGCCTTTAAATATAATAAGCGGTGGACCTTTTTGACCACTTGCACTACATGCCATTAGCACTGAAGTGTTATCTCTACCTGAGCCATGTGTAGTACGTGTAGTAGATATCCCTATCCCACCAACAATTTTAGTTTTTGATAGGTCATGACAAAAAGACGTTTCATCCAAGTTCCATCCGGTCTGTGTATAAGATTTAATTCAACTAATGTTTTCCATAGTAAATCAAAATGCCTATAAATGATGAATGGATCACATGCTTTGTTCCTCGAATGTTCAATAATTTGAGGCTTTTTGATACTAAGTTGTTGCCTTTTAGAAAACCCAAGCCACCAATCCTCATCAGGATATCCATTACGAAAAGGATTTTTAATATTACAACTAGTTACATAATTTCCTACTAGATTTAATACCTCTTTGCAACTCAGTCCATAACCGTATTTGTTCATCACTATTAGTAAACCAGCCAACTTGGATTCTGTAGCAGTTCCCAATGCTGTTGGACGCCCCATTGATTCCGACTTCATACCACGTCTTCCTTTAATATGATCATACAGGGTAGGTCGAGGTATTGCATATTTTTGAGATGCAGCTTTGTGATTGATCCACTCTTTATCTGCTCGACCGCA